ATAACGAAATCAACAGGGAAGATAAATTTGTTCACTTTTACTAGCACATTCTCTAAAATACCTTTTGGGTAAACTAAAGACCTATCGGCTAATTGAAGAGTTATAGCCGTTGGTTCAATCTCACCTAACCCAAGATTTTTGTAAGTGGAGTAAGGCATAAGATTAATGCTAGCACCTAAATCAATGAGTGACTTAAATTTTTTACCTCCTATAGTACAAGGGATAGTGAACTTACCTGGATCGCCGAGTTTTTGTGGAAGGGGTCGTACAAGAATTTCACTGCATTGCTCCGTGAGTTGGATGATCTCGTTCCCTTGCAATTTATTCCTTTTTGTCACGAGCTCCTTGAGGAATTTCACCCACTTTGGCATCTTTTGAATGGCTTCGATAAACGGAATGTTGATGTGGATTTCCTTCAGCTTGTCCAAGAATCCTTGGTGCTCGGCATCGAGCTTCTTCTTTTGAAGCTTTTGAGGATATGGGACTTGAGGGACTCGTGAGATCACTGTGGGTGATGGTGGTTCTTTGCGAGTTGCTTCTTTTTCCTCAATCACATTCGGCTCCTCGATTACCGTGTTTTGCTTGTCCTTTCGTGGGGCTTCCTCTAATTGTCTCCCGTTCCTTAAACTTACAGCGTTGCATTGCTCGACGTTGTTCTTCCGAGGATCTTCCGTGTTTGATGGCAGTGCTCCCAATGGCCTCGCTGTTAGTTGGGTTGCAAGTTGACCCATTTGTGTTTCCAAATTTCTGATGGAGGCTTGGGTGGTTGTCATGAACTGTGCCAAGATATTTGCGAGATCTCCACCTTGAGGTTGGGCTTGAGGCGTATTTTGGAATCCGGGCGCTGGTCATGAATAATTAGGCGGTTGACCTTGAGGTGGTGCTTGCCTTGGTCCTTGCTGATTTCCTCCCCACCCAAAGTTAGGGTGATCCTTCCATCCGGGATTGTACGTGTTGGAGTACGGGTTCCTCTGTTGTCGGTTGGTGTCATGCACATAATTCAGAGACTCCGTTTCTTCTATGCGTTGGTCGGGAACTTGGACCGCATGGACTTGCTGAGTTTGCAAAGCCGCTACTTGCTTCGATAGCTTCTCCAATTGCACCGTGATTGCAGTGACTCCGTCTAACTCCAAAATTCCTCCCGTCTTGACTGCTCCGCTATTCGACCGGTCCGATGCTCGCATGTATTTATTTCTAGCGATTCGTTCTAGGAGCTCGTATGCTTCGTCGTAGGTCAAACTCATGAACATACTTCCAGCTGCAGAGTCGAGCACTGTCCTCGAGTTGTCTTGCAGTCCATCGTAAAATATTTGCAGTTGGCGCCACTCTTGTAGTCCGTGATTCGGGCACCTCCTTACTAACTGTTTGAACCGCTCCCACGTCTCGAATAATGCTTCACCGGCTTCTTGTATGAAGTTTTGAATTTCTCGCCGGATTCTCTCAGTTTTTGTTGGGGAGTTGTATGTGTTCATGAAAAGTTGAGCTAGCTGGGCCCACGACGAGATGGAGTGCGGTGCACGAGTTTGTAACCATTCCCGGGCTGCTCCTTGTAGGGAGTGCTTGAACAGGTGGAGTTGCAATGCTTCGGGTGTTACTTCGTTCATCTTGTGCGAGTCACACGTTTCGAGAAAGTTGACCAAGTGAAGATGTGGATCTTCATGAGCTAATCCGCTGAATAGACCATTGTTTTGGAGCATCGTGAGGAGTCCCGCTCGAATTTCGAAATTATTGGCTTCAATGGGGGGTTGCTGGATGCTTGATTGAAACCCATTGAGTGTCGGAACGGTGTACTCATGCAAGGCTCGTTGACGCGGTGGTGGATTAATTAGTTGGCGTTGGTTTTGCTCGTTGACGATTTCTCTCGCTACATTCGGTGGGTGCCTTTGGTCACCTTCCCCACGATTATTCTCGTCTTCCATCGTTGCGGGAGTGTTTTGAGCTAACCGTTGATTTCTCCTGGCTTGCCTAAACGTTCGCTCATTTTCGGGATCAAGAGGTAGCAAGCTCGTGTCGTGTCCTCTTCGCATAAAAAGTACCTAAAACAAAATAATAAAATAATTAAATAAAAAAATAAAAAAAATAAATGGCTCAAGTAAGAAAAATTGTTCAAATTTAATATTAGGATAAATAAATAATTTAGCCGTATTCCCCGGCAACGGCGCCAAAAACTTGTTGGGTGCTAAATACCAACACGCAAGTGTACGTATCGCAAACAAGTAGTAAAGTAGACTCGTGAGAGTCGGATGTCGATCCCACATGGAATACGCAAATTATTTAATCCTAAGTACCAAATCCTAACAATTATGATTTTTATTCAGCCTACGCAGGGTTGTCAAATTAATTAACTAAATAAATTAAACTAATTAAAAAAAAACAATTAAACACGAGAAAATATCAATATAAAACGGATCTAGGATTTTATCTTCCCCCTATGCGATAATTCTTCACCCAATTAATCTCCTATCATGCAAGTTACGATTCTCGATTATTAACCCAAGACACGAAATTACTCATAACCAGCTGTCGCTGCGTTATAAGCCTATTATTCATAAAAGAGTCACTATATGTCTATGCAAACCTAGTATAAATAAAGCATTAAATAACAAGTCTCGCAAACGGCTACCTAAGGTATTATCTGTATGTCTACGATAATACATGCAATTAACACACACATTCGGTGAAAAACTACTCGAAGGCTCTTCTATCCCTGTTCTAATTATTAAAACGATCTGTCAATCAATTCTAACAATAACTAATAGCAACATAAGTTAGCTACGCTCATGCACTAAATACGATCAAAATAGAAGAAATAATCGAAGAATTAAACTTGCATAAAAGTAGAAAAATAGGTTCGAATTACCACATAGGGTTCCAATAAAATCCTAGAATAAAAACTTAGCTACTCATGTTCTCTACGAAAAGCATAATAAAAATACGAAAAATCATAAAAGCTATAAATAAAAATCAAAGAGGAGAACTAGGATGAAGATTCGTCAAGTCTTCGTCTTCGTTCTTGTGCTCCTTGATCGCGTGTAGAAAGAGGAAAACTAAAAACTAAAAAATAAAGATAAAAGGTAAAAGATAAAAGATGAATCTAATTGTGTGCCCTTGGCCTTTAAATAGGGTACAAAAATATAATAGGGCGGGTTTCCTTGTGTAATTAAAATTCCTTCACTGCGCCATCACGACCATCCGGACGGCCGTGCGAGAACATGCTTTAAAATCCGGACGGCCGTCCGGTCCTTGATTCTCCAGAATTCTGATTTTGTCAATTTTGGCCCACTTTTTCTCCGAATTTGCAGTTTTCACCCCAAAAGTTGCCAATTCTTCAATTTGCACCTAAAATACAAATAATAACCATATTAAGCACCAATTATCGTAAAAACACATCAAAAGGTCCAATTAAAAGGTACAATTAAGTGTATAAATATACACTTAACAGTAGTCTATGGGGTATTTGGTACAACCCCTATAGTTTAGGGGTGCAAATTGTAATTTCTCCTACATTATATTATATTTATCTTTAGAATAAATATTAGTTTGATGAAAAATATGATTACACTAGTAAAAAAATGGCGTTTTATTACAAGTAAACATAAAATAAAAATGAGCAAACACCACTGAAGTAAAAATGAATATTAATTACAAATACTAAAAAAATGTTTTATTATAAAATTGAAAATAATAAAGTTTGTAAAATAATGAAAGATGGAGACTTTTCTTAAAAAAAATAAAAAAAAAATGGAATATTTTTATAACATGTAAGCTAATGGGGGAAATGGAGATTTCAATAGTAGAGGGAAGGTAAATGAAGGCTTTTGTTTAGTAATGGGGTTAAGTGAAATTAAACCTTTATTTAATTATCAATTATTAGTTACTCAATCTGTTCCACAATTATCTGTTACTTTCGTTCCATACTATCCGTCACTTCAAAATTTCCAACACAGCATGCATTAATTACTTAATTTCCAGTTTATTCCCTTATTAATGCAAATTTAAGTTTCTTCATTTTATTTTATTTTCCAGTCGATCGAAAAAATATCGTATGGTGGAACCGATGGAACTTTATGCGATTCCTGGATGCGGTGGTGATTATTTGTCTATGTATTTTACCGCAAGCTTGACTATGATGCGAGTGATGAAATATATAATTTTCGAAGCACATATGTACGACGGAACCAAAGGAACTATAATACGATCTGTTCGTATTGTTGAATTGTCGATGAAGCAGTAGTATCAACTTCAAATTAAAAATGGGTTGCTCTGTAATTCTTTTCTTAAGCTTGTTGCATATTTCGTGATTTTATCCGATCTTTCATTGTTGCATATTTATGGTTTAATTTCTTTTGTTGCGACTATTTTGAAATGCAACTGAAACCGTAACCGAAAATCGAAAAACTCTGGAGTAAAACCTGAAACCCGAAAATCGATCTGAGTAGGGTGAGTAGGGATAGTCACCCCCCCCTTAATTGCAAAATAAATGAAAGTTTCCACATTTTGGTTTTGGAAAAAAATGTATCCGGATATAAATTAATTTAACAATTCTTTCGACGTGTAACCAACATAAAATGAAAATTCGTTTCAACTTTCACATCTAGCATTAATGTTTTATTTTTCATATATATATATATATATATATATATATATATATATATATATATATATATTGTTAATTAAATAAATATATTCGACTTAATTATATTATTAACGGAAAATAAGATTTCATGCAAGAAATAATGAAACACAAGAGGTACCAAGAGGTACTGTTACCAACTTCAAATGCAAGAAATAATGAAACACAAGAGGTACCAAGAGGTACTGTTACCAACTTCAATTGATTAATCCTCGTTAGAAAATGATACAAACTTCAAAAAAAATTCAAACATATAATCCTTAATTTTTGTTTAACTGTAACTTCTGTAATAGATATTACGATATAAACATAAAAGTTAAACTACAACGAAATTAATTAAATTCCGTATACTCAAAAGCTACTACTGTGAAAACCATTTGTAATTTGTTCAGAGTTTAGAAGAAGCTAGCTTTGTGTCTCTTCGAAAAAAAATTGACCGCCATCTTGATCAGGTGGTCCGTTGTCCGGTGGGTTTTCAACTGCAGGCGGCGTTTTCACAGCTGGCGGTGTTTTCACACCACCACCACCACAAGATTTCGCGCAATAGCAGCGGCCCATCCTACAAACGCCGTACTGAAAATCTTCATGCATGCAAACTATATTGCAATTCCTTTGAGTTGCTCGAATACATTTCCCTCCAAATTCGCGGCTTCTCGATTTGCACGTTCTTATTACCGCCCCAATCTCTTCTGTTTGGTTAATTACAACGAATTGATTAAAATGCATAACAATAATGTAAAACAAATTGACATATTTATATGAGAGAGAGAGAGAGAGAGAGAGAGAGAGAGAGAGAGAGAGAGAGAGAGAGAGAGAGAGAGAGAGAGAGAGAGAGAGAGAGGGAGAGAGAGAGAGAGAGAGAGAGAGAGAGAGAGAGAGAGAGAGAGAGAGAGAGAGAGAGAGAGAGAGAGAGAGAGAGAGAGAGAGAGAGAGAGAGAGAGAGAGACTTACGAGTAGAGAGGACAATGAAGAAGACAACTAACAACAACTTCTTGTCCATGTTTTTCTTTTTTCTGTTTGAGTTTTTGTGAATGATTTTGAACACAAATAACACATTCCTTTTATAGGGGAGCACCTATGTTAGAGTGATATCATTGAGCAAAAGTCAACCAACAATAGTGTAGCACGTGTTAATTATATATATAGATATATATGCATTTAGTAAACACTAAAGAGTAGTCTAACCCTTCTCAATCTAAATTAAATGATTTTTTATCTGAAAAAATCTGGGGTTTTCCATCTCTTTAATGCTTGTTATGGGGGTTTGAATGTGCGGGTTCTAAATTAAACCCGCCCGTTCGAGTATCGGGTCTTGATTCAAGTAACACGTATTTAAAATAGGCGGATTTAGAAAATGCGGGTTTAGAATCAAAACCAATTACATACAATGCGCATGCCAGATCGAAACACATTAGTACTTTAATTCATTTCAAAGATCTCAATCTGAGATCTTATTTCAGTTCGATACATCCGATCCGGCCACCTACTTATAAACTCACATTTGGCTTTCACCTCGGTAGCTAGGTTTATTATTATACATTTTCTCCACGAAACGATTGGACTTGTTACATAGTACTACCCGGCCCTTTGACCACGCTATTCGTACATGGAGTTGGGGCATGCATGTTGGATTCTATATACGGATAGATAGATCGATCGTCTTGAGATCTTACTATTGTATAGACAACAAGCACCATAAGCCCTTTTTTTTTGTTAAGTGTAGCTATAGAGTGGCACCAAAAATCGGTCAAAATGAGTTTTTTCGTCTTCTTATAATCCAAAAAAATGTTTGGGCTTTTAAACAAAAATGAGTTTATGCATAGTTTTGTTTATGTTAATTGTCAAGCATACTTTCGAATGGAGAAGATTTTTGTTTTATTTGTATATATTTTACAAGGATTTTTATTATATTACGATCTTATTATTATAAAGTTTTATTATGTGATTAGGATATATAAGTGGGATATAATCCTGTTTATATATATATTTCAAGTATTTCAAAGTACTATCTAGAAATAGATTACACTAAATTTGAACAACCAATTTATTTCCAATTTATCACCGATTAATTACCACTGCTCCGATTAACTGTGAGGCGGTGCGTAACCGCCCGACATGATTCCCCCTTTTTACAACTTTGGTATTTAGTGACAACTTTTGATAATGTCACAATTATAATATCACTAATTCCATTTTTTTCTTATAGTGTGATTGCGTTGTATTGAGGTGTACATAGAGAAGTATACAATGTAATTGTTTCCGTGGCATTCTAGACTTGGTTCTCCATTTACATGAATGTAAATGTGGAATTAATGTCATTGTCAACGCATAAATTCTGAATAAAAACTTCTCCCCAAATTTATGCAATACCATATTGTATAAGCATTTTTGGACATGAAATTCCAAATAAAAAACGAAATCCCAATATACTGTTGGGATCGGAAGAGCAGAGGGGAACATGGTTCGTCGGAACCAGGATAGCGAAACCGGAACTGAGGCTATACCACGACAACATTTTCTAGCAGCCAATGTCTTAGAAATGCGAAAATCGACTGGAATGGTAAAAGAAACTTCAATCGGAAAGGTGAAAGACTATGCTTTAGCGACCCATAGCGGCGATTTATCGATCAGAACGGGTGATAAATCGGTTGGAATGAGGAATAAATCATCCAAAAACTATTCTTAGTTACATAATAATAAAAAAATTAATCGCAAATTTACTTATTGTGTTACATATACTCTGTCCATTTGCCAAGGAAAATCGAAGTGCTAAATTTGTATAAAAGATGTAACATACAACGAGAGAATTACATTGAGAATTTTGATATACTAATGAAAAATTATATAGTGCTATTTTATTGAGCTATAACAACATTTTATTTTCATTGTCGCATTAAAATTTTAATAGCAATATTAGAATTGGTTTTTGATATTTCTAGTACTTAAATAAAGAATACTTCCCTGTTGGGCAAAATATATCGTCTTAGGAAGATTTATCGAAACTCATTAGAACATCTCTTGTCGTTAATTACTTTCTAGAATTATGTACTTAGAATCTAGAATTATGTACTTAGAACTTTTATGAAATGATATAAAGAGCCACTGAAAACCATATGGTTAAATCAATCACCATCATCAATTAGAACTTAGAAGTAAAGTAATATAAATACGAGTAGATAGATTGACCATGATAGAATTTAAAGAGAACAATATATGGAGTACATGGTATACAATAGTAAGTATTAGAATTTGTTATGATACTTTCCTATTTAAATTCAACATGTTCATTGTGGCCATAAAATTCTCGTGATATTGCATTTTGTTTATAATAGTGATCTCCCCACAACGATGCAATCTCCTTGAAATATATTTTAAAAAATACAAAAAATAAATAAAAAAATATAACCCCTTATTATTATGGGCATATTACAACTAGGCTCATCAAATGATTGATACTTATTTATAAAGAGTTAATTGTATTTATTACCCCTGTGAAATTCGAAACTGCACGATTCCCCTTTGTCATAAAAAAATAAAGAATACCCCCTATCCTTATTAGTCAAAGGCGAAAACCCCCTTGGAGTTGATCGTGCGGCTCACTCGCCGCGTTTGCGATTGTTTCTTCCCTTTTGCTTATGAAAGGACAAAACTGCCCCGTGGTTATTTGCAATAAAAAAATCCAGCCCTTAAACATATAATTTTTAAAGGTAAGGAACTAAATTGAACTTTTAAAACAAATACAGGGGTTAAATTGCAATTTTTTAGAACTTAATTAAAATCCTAAACACCCAATTTCTTTCCTGTCTTCTCTTCTTCCTCTCCAAATTTTCTGGACCGGAAGAATTGCAAGGATTAGCATAGGAAGGTCGAAGAGAGAGAGGGGTTGAGTAATGTTTGTGTTTGTTGGCGGTTGAATTGGGGTGGTTGTGGGCGGCGGATTCTCAGAAGACGGTGTTGCGGCGTTGGAAGTGTCGGGTGGAAGGACATGTATCGGAGGTGAGGAAAAAATCCCGCTTCGTTGAAAGTGAACGAAGTGCGGGCAATAGTGGCGGAGCAAGAGCGGCTGAGGGGCATAAATGATGGATAAAGAACCGTAGAATTTGGGTGGGGTGGGGGCGGGGGCGGGAGCTGCGGGGAAAAGACGACTATTTGCAGGGAAGGTGTATTTTATTTATTTAAAATGGAAATAAAAATTAAGATTTTATTAAATATAATGAAAAAAATTACAACGTGTAATATAACAAACTTATTCAGGGTATTTTGGCCTTTTCACAACTTGTCAATAGAAATAAAGTAAATGGGTCGAATGTACATTCTAAAAGTAAGTATAGGGGGGTATTTGCTAATTTTTTTATGACAGGGGGCAATCGTGCAATTGCGAATTTCACAGGGGTGGTAAATGCAATTTACTCTATTTATAAAGGGGTTCAGACAAAAAACTCCTTTACAGAAAAGTCGACACATTGTCTAGAGGTTGGTAAAAGATTACAATATCCCCTCACATTTACTATGCTCCAATTTCATCATTTAATTTAATTTAACCTCAATTTAACCCTAAATTTCACAAATTATTCAGTTTTGACCCAAAACGCAATTTTGAGTACAATTCGTCCGTCTCCGCCAGTCACCGGCGTTGAATTTTTTTTTTTTTTTTTTCCTTCTTCTTCGTGGTTTTTCCGCCGATTTCCGACGTTGGCTATTTAGATATGTATATATTTTTTTTTTTTAATTTTTAACGTAATAAAAAGCCAGAAGAATTTGTATTGATGTGGTTGACAATAATATTACTGTCATCCACAGTTATTACTGTAACAACAGTAATATTACCGTTAGTCACAGTAATATTATTGTGTTTACACGAATATTACAATAGTAGAGAGTAATATTATTACGTTACTTCTTCAACAACTCAAACAAAAATAAACCCAAAAAATAATAATATTGATGTAGTTGATAGTAATATTATTGTGTTTACAGTTATTTTACCGTTTACGGAAGTAATATCATTACGTTGACTTGTCAATAAATCAAACAAAAAAAAAGCCAAAAAAATAAAGGGTGGTTACAAATAAGCCCATCAATTGGTACTTATTCATAAAGAGATCCAGACAATAAACTCCTTTACAAATAAGTTCAGACATGATCCAGATTTTTGTAAAAGACTAAAATAGCCCCTCATACTTTAATATGCTCCAATTTCATCCTTAATTTAATTTAACCTCAATTTGACCCCAAATTTCACAAATTATTCAATTTTGACCCAAAACACATTTTTTTGGACAAATTCCCCCGTCACCGCTGTTGATCGCCGATTTCCGACGTTGGCCGGCATTGAATTTTTCGAATTATTATTCTTTTTTTTTTCTTCTGTAACATTTTTTTTCGTTTAAACAACAATATTGTTGTGATTGACAGTAATATTAACTATATTCCTGTTAAACACAGTAAAATTAACTAAACTACAGTTTAACACAGTAATATTGTTATATTAATCTCTAGCACAGTAATATTGACACAATAAAACTCATTATTATTATGTAATAGAGTAATATTACTATGTTGACCTTTCAACAAATGTAAACATAATAAAAACCCAAAAAGATTTAATATTACTGTGAGTGACATTAATATTACTATAACAACAACAATATTACCGTCAACCACAATAATATTATAATAATAGACAGTAATATTATTAAGTTACTCCGCGAATAACTCAAACAAACAAAAAAATCCAAACAAAATAATAATATTGATGTGGTTGACAGCAATATTACTATTACAACAGTAATATTACCGTCAACCACAATAACATTATTGTGTTTACAGTAATATTACAATAATAGACAGTAATATTATTACCTTACTCCGTGAATAACTCAAACAAAACAAAAAACCAAAAAAATAACAATATTGATATTGTTGACAGTAATATTATTGTGTTTACAGTTATTTTATTGTCAACGACAGTAGTATAATTACGTTGACTTGTCAACAAATCAAGCAAAATAAAAAAAGTAACAAAAAATAAAAAATAATAATACTATGTTAATTTACTGTCAACGTCAGAATAATTACGTAAATGTACTCGT